AGATATTTCACTTGCACGACCCATAAGCAAATTGAGATCGATATCCTGCAAGAGTGTTGATATAAGTTCATACAATAATAGAAACGAGTTTGCTTTAAAAACACGAAAATCGAAGCCATTAACTTGTATCTTATTTTCGTTTACTGATGGAAATTAGATATTCCCCAATTTGTACGAATTTTTTTTTTTCAGTTTTTGACATGTTCTATAGACGATTTGATTTAAATACTCCGTCAAATGTCGTCTTTCGTTTAAGAACTTAAAAACAAAAGTTATAAAATTGTAAGGTAGCATCGACGTATTGATGGACTCCAGTGACGGAGTGGCGAACTCACTGACGTAGTGACGAACTCATTGACGGAGTGGCGAACTCATTGACGGAGTGACGAACTCACTGACGTACTGACGTATGAGGTAGCCCTGACTCGATAAATTGATAAGTTCGCGTCTGTTACTTCTATGTTTGAACTAAACCTAGTATCGTATAAGACATTTGAAATCAATTCTTTATCCAAAGATTTCCAAGAAGTAAAAAGTAAATGTACTTTCCCCTCAATAATCAAAATTCTATAGTCTGGAAGACACAAAAATAATAAAACGTTAGCCTACAAAACGGATCTCAATTTAGCTTGAAGTGAAACAAATTTTCTACTTTTTTATTTTGCGAATGTAAATTAAATTGTTCGAGTGATAATAGAATTCAAGTTTATTTTTTGTCTAGAGGAATCTTGAAAATCTGCGTTTAACCCTTTGTCCTTCGTTCAATAAGTTGCAATAGCTGCACAATAGGATTGAAATAAAATATAAAAGTGGCTAAACATTGATTACATTTTCAAGTAATAATCCAATGCAATAAAAACAAGTAATTGAACAATGAATGAAAATTACATACAATACATATAAAAACAAATATCGAAACATTTTTACAACATAAAATCCCAAATAAAGCATATTAATTAAGCGTTAACCCTCAGTAATACTACTGGGAGGGTGGGAGGGTTTTAAAACTAATAAGCGATCAAGGCTTAGCACGCTAACTGCACAACAAGGCAAGCAATGCTATAAACAAAACGAGGCTAGCTAATGAATATGCGTGAAGGTCGGGTCAGGTTAGGTCAGCGAGTACACTACAGGTCATAGTTAAAATTAGATTTAACAAAATCTTCACTTTAACCCTTTGTCCTTCGTTCAATAAGTTGCAATAGCTGCACAATAGGATTGAAATAAAATATAAAAGTGGCTAAACATTGATTACATTTTCAAGTAATAATCCAATGCAATAAAAACAAGTAATTGAACAATGAATGAAAGTTACATACAAATACATATAAAAACAAATATCGAAACATTTTTACAACATAAAATCCCAGACCCACACGTACTTGTATAAAAAAATGACGTTGTGTCTATTGTTTAAAGTGTTTTAGGGATTAAGCATGAAAAATTATGCATAGCCTGCTGGCGAAGATGTAGATCGGAATGCACATAACGCTGGAAGCACTCGCTGGACCAATAACCCAGGAGTTTGATATTGCTATCGCTTAAACCGACAGAAGATGCCCAAGAGGCGGCACCACGACGAAAGGAGTGTCCGCCATAGAGTTTATAGTTTAACCCAATGACATGCAAAATATACTGAAAAGATCGCAAAAAAGTATTGTAACCCAGGAAAGAGCCATTTTGCAACAAAAAGAGCGGGGAAAGCGGAGTACCTGGAAGGCATAAGATATTATGAAGCGCAGTTACTGGGCAAAGCGGGTGATTTTGCAAATGAGGCAATAATACAAAGATATCCTTAGTGCGAAACTGAATCGTTTTAGTGACTTTAAGTCGAACAATTAAACCTTCATTTGTAATCTGGACATCGCGTCGTTGTATATCAACAGCCGGATCAAAATGGTCCTTAATAAGAAAATTAATCGGTCTAAGGAAGCCAAAAAAACCAAGCAAACAAGCAGCCCAAAAAATTTTGTTGTTATAGTTTTGTAAATCCAAAGCCGCGTGGATTTTAAGAAGCAAAGTAGGCGTGACAGGTGTTTTACAGTTTTAACCTGCCCCTAGTTCTCGCTTGACTCCAGTCAATAAATGTTGAACAGTCCAGCTCTGAATAGGATCGGTTAAATTGTTCGACTTATATAACAATGAAATAATATTCAAATAAGATCTAATACTGCTATAAGTAAAGTGTTTGACATCAACAAGATAAGCTATATACATTTCTATAGTAGCATTTTTGACAGGAAACACTGGAAGAGCATATTGCCTACAAAAGTCCTTAAAAGTCTTCCAGTGTGTTTGATAAGTTTTGCGAGTAGTGTTAGCCCATCCCTTGCCTTTCAAACGTTCCACTGTAGAATATAGCCGGTTCAAGCCCCATTCTCGGGGAACCCCACCTATAAGTAAAAAACAAAGGTGTCACATGGTTGAGAAGTTCTGAAGCGTGGAAGAAAAGATCATAACTTCCCAAGACGCTATAAAGTCGGCTGAGTTGATCTGGTTCATGTAGCCTCGAAGCAGCATCAGCAGCAATATTAAGTCGACCAGGGATATATCTGGCTACCAAGTCAAAGTTAAATATGGC